CCTGGTTGTCTTCAAGACCCCTGGTTGTCTTCAAGACTCCTGGTTGTCTTCAAGACCCCTGGTTGTCTTCAAGATCCCTGGTTGTCTTCAAGACCCCTGGTTGTCTTCAAGACCTCTGGTTGTCTTCAAGATCCCTGGTTGTCTTCAAGACTCCTGGTTGTCTTCAAGACCCCTGGTTGTCTTCAAGACCCCTGGTTGTCTTCAAGACCTCTGGTTGTCTTCAAGACCCATGGTTGTCTTCAAGACCCCTGGTTGTCTTAAAGACCCATGGTTGTCTTCAAGACTCCTGGTTGTCTTCAAGACCCATGGTTGTCTTCAAGACTCCTGGTTGTCTTCAAAACCCCTGGTTGTCTTCAAGACCCATGGTTGTCTTCAAGACCCCTGGTTGTCTTCAAGACCCATGGTTGTCTTCAAAACCCCTGGTTGTCTTCAAGACCCCTGGTTGTCTTCAAGACTCCTGGTTGTCTTCAAGACCCATGGTTGTCTTCAAGACCCATAGTTGTCTTCAACCCCTGGTTGTCTTCAAGACCCCTGGTTGTCTTCAAGACTCATGGTTGTCTTCAAGACCCCTGGTTGTCTTCAATACCTCTGGCTGTCCTCAAGACCCCTGGCTGTCTTCAAGACCCCTGGCTGTCTTCAAGACCCTTGGTTGTCTTCAAGACCCCTGGTTGTCTTCAAGACCCATGGTTGTCTTCAAGACTTCTGGCTATCCTCAAGACCCCTGGCTGTCTTCAAGACCCCTGGCTGTCTTCAAGACCCCTGGTTGTCTTCAAGACCCCTGGTTGTCTTCAAGACCCATGGTTGTCTTCAAGACCTCTGGCTGTCCTCAAGACCCCTGACTGTCTTCAAGACCCCTGGTTGTCTTCAAAACCCCTGGTTGTCTTCAAGACCCCTGGTTGTCTTCAAGACCTCTGGCTGTCCTCAAGACCCCTGGTTGTCTTCAAGACCCCTGGCTGTCTTCAAGACCCTTGATTGTCTTAAGACCCCTGGCTGTCTTCAAGACCCTTGGTTGTCTTCAAGACCCCTGGTTGTCTTCAAGACCCCTGGTTGCCTTCAAGACCCCTGGTTGTCTTCCAGACCCCTAGTTGTCTTCAAGACCCTTGGTTGTCTTCCAGACCCCTGGTTGTCTTCCAGACTCCTGGTTGTCTTCAAGACCCCTAGTTGTCTTCAAGACCCCTGGCTGTCTTCAAGACCCCTGGTTGTCCTCAAGACCCCTGGTTGTCTTCAAGACTCCTGGTTGTCTTCAAGACCCCTGGCTGTCTTCAAGACCACTGGTTGTCTTCAAGACCCCTGGTTGTCATCAAGACCCCTGGCTCTCTTCAAGACCCTTGGTTGTCTTCAAGACCCCTGGTTGTCTTCAAGACCCCTGGTTGTCTTCAAGACTCCTGGCTGTCTTCAAGACTCCTGCTTGTCTTCAAGACCCCTGGTTGTCTTCAAGACCCCTGGTTGTCTTCAAGACCCCTGGTTGTCTTCAAGACCCCTGGTTGTCTTCAAGACTTCTGGTTGTCTTCAAGAGCGAGCTGGACAGACACACAGTACCTGACCAGCCAGGTTGTGGTTCCTACGTTGCTTTCCGTGCGACCAGCAGTAACAACCTGATTGATCAGGTCCTGGTCCACTACCAGACCTGGTCATGGACCGTCCCGCGGGGGCGCTGACCCCCAGAACACCTTCCAGGTATACTCCAGGTATACCAAGCATTGTGTAACAGACTTTAAACCTAACATACCAAGCATCGTGTAGTAGATAGACTTTAAACCAAACAAACGCTGGTGTAATAGATACGACTTAGTGATAATAAAGTTAATTAGAGTGAGTGTCGTCTGTGAGTAATGGTTCTTAAATGTTGAGAACCAGTGCCAAGACTTGTGTGAGAGAGACACACACACACACACACACACACACACACACACACACACACACACACACACACACACACACACACACACACACACACACACACACACACACACACACACACACACACAATATATATATATATATATATATATATATATATATATATATATATATATATATATATATATATATATATATATATATATATATATTAAACATCGTACGTCTGGAAGAACAATTATGTCTAAGGAGGTATTTAGCAACTCTGGCCTATATTGTCGTACATCTGGCAGCACCTGCACTGTATTATCTTACTTCTGGCAACCTGTTCATATAAGGTCGTACATCTGGCAGCCACTTGATGTATTGTCGTACATCTGGCAGCACCGGCACAGTATTATTTTACTTCTGGCAGCCAGTTCATGTAACGTCTTACATCTGGCAGCCACATGATGCACTGTCGTACATCTGGCAGCACCTGCACTGTATTATCTTTCTTCTGGTAGGTGGTTCATGTAACGTCGTACATCTGGCAGCCACTTGATGCAATGTCGTACATCTAGCAGCAAGCTGATACAACACTCAAGACAGAGCTGCCAACTATCCCATAATTATTACGTTATCGTGTTCTGGCAACAAATTAATGAATCATCGTATGCCTGGCAGGTACTTGATGGGCTGTCGTACAGCTAGAAACAAAGTAACAAATCGTCGTGCGTCTGGCAGACAACCAGTGTATCATACATCAGGCAGAATGTTAATGAGTTCTCGTACGTGTTGCAGAATATTAGTGAGTTGTCATACGTCTGGCAGAATATTAGTGAGTTGTCGTACGTCTGGCAAAATATTAGTGAGTTGTCGTACGTCTGGCAGAATATTAGTGAGTTGTCGTACGTCTGGCAGAATATTAGTGAGTTGTCGTACGTCTGGTAGAATATTAGTGAGTTGTCGTACGTCAGGCAAAATATTAGTGAGTTGTCGTACGTCTGGCAGAATATTAGTGAGTTGTCGTACGTTTGGCAGAATATTAGTGAGTTGTCGTACGTCTGGCAGAATATTAGTGAGTTGTCGTACGTCTGGCAGAATATTAGTGAGTTGTCGTACGTCTGGCAGAATATTAGTGAGTTGTCATACGTCTGACAGCTGGCTAGTACATCATTGTAGGTCTGGCAGTGTTACTACACACCAGCCATCTGCTGGTGTGTACGTACACAGTATAGCAGAGGTTAATGGTAATGGGTGGGTAATATTAATGGTAATGGGTGGGTAATATTAATGGTAATGGATGGGTAATATTAATGGTAATGGATGGGTAATATTAATGGTAATGGGTGGGTAATATTAATGGTAATGGGTGGGTAATATTAATGGTAATGGGTGGGTAATATTAATGGTAATGAGTGGGTAATATTAATGGTAATGGATGGGTAATATTAATGGTAATGGGTGGGTAATATTAATGGTAATGGGTGGGTAATATTAATGGTAATGGTGGGTAATATTAATGGTAATGGGTGGGTAATATTAATGGTAATGGGTGGGTAATATTAATGGTAATGGGTGGGTGATATTAATGGTAATGGGTGGGTAATATTAATGGTAATGGGTGGGTGATATTAATGGTAATGGGTGGGTAATATTAATGGTAATGGGTGGGTAATATTAATGGTAATGGATGGGTAATATTAATGGTAATGGATGGGTAATATTAATGGTAATGGGTGGGTAATATTAATGGTAATGGATGGGTAATATTAATGGTAATGGGTGGGTAATATTAATGGTAATGGGTGGGTAATATTAATGGCAATGGGTGGGTAATATTAATGGTAATGGGTGGGTAATATTAATGGTAATGGATGGGTAATATTAATGGTAATGGGTGGGTAATATTAATGGTAATGGATGGGTAATATTAATGGTAATGGATGGGTAATATTAATGGTAATGGGTGGGTAATATTAATGGTAATGGATGGGTAATATTAATGGTAATGGGTGGGTAATATTAATGGTAATGGGTGAGTAATATTAATGGTAATGGGTGAGTAATATTAATGGTAATGGGTGGGAGGGAAGCTCCCATTCCTGGGATCAAAAACCTTCAACGGCAAGAAAGTAGCGGAGATTATAGGCTCGTTGTCCTTCCTTGAACCAAACACATATTTGCCCTCAAATATCTTCCTGTGTGCGGCCTCCTGCCCCTCCCTACCCTACCCATTATTAAGGTTAAACCCTTGGGGAGGTAATGGAAGGGTGAAAGAGGCAAGACGTCCCTGCTAACCCCTTAAAATACCCCAAATATGTGAACCCTTTAACCCGGAGGCCACCAAACATGGCCGCCATTTCCAGCCTATTTACCATATATATTTCGCTCTAAACACGTATATTAAAAGCCTTTCTCAAATAAAAATCGACTTTTTAGCAAGATAAATCTCTGAATTATCCGAGAAATGATGGAGAGGATGAGGAAATGAGGAGAAATGGAGTAATTTGGGGTGAGAGAAGGGCAGGTATGTGCCATATGTTAGTCTGGTCCACCACGTCCGATTCTTCAGCCGCGGCGCTGACTTCTACTTACTTTATCACTATTATATAGATATTTTGTGTACATATTAAGATATAAATTATTATAATTAATAGTAGTAGTAGTGATGTTAATATTATTATTATCATTATTATTAGTAGTAGTAGTATTAGTATTATTATCATAATTATTATTATTATTATTATTATTATTATTATTATTATTATTATTATTATTAGTATTATTATTAATATTATTATTATTACATTAATTATTATTATCAATATTATTATTGTTATTATATTAATTATTATTATTATTTTTATTGTTATAATTATTATATTAATTATTATATTATTATATTAATTTATTATTATATTAATTATTATTATTATATTAATTATTATATTAATTATTATTATTATATTAATTATTATATTAATTATTATATTAATTATTATTATTATTATTATTATCATTATTATTATTATTATTGTGGGATGCAAAGAGTACATAACGTTTATTCGGCGCATGTACACACCCTCATACAGGCTATCTCCCCCAACCAGTGAACCAGGTGACTGAGGGTTGATGATGGGGCCCCGTCGTTCAACAGTAGCCAGGTTCCTGCCAATAAGATGGCTGTGGCAATCATAGAGGTGTTGTGGCTACCACACACCTGTCTGCCCTTGTCATTCCCATTCTAGAGCTGGTTGAAGCGGAGTGCACTAATACCTGTCACTGTACATAGTGTATATAGTGTACATACTTCTATTCTAAATTGGTGAAGGTTAATATATATAAAAAGTTTTCTGCTGTGTTTATTTTGCTCCCTTTACCCCCAGGATAACAGGTTTTTGGGACTCCTGGCTTGTAATAATTATTATTATTATTACCTCCGTATCCCCCAAACCAAAATGGCGACCCTCCACTTTATCCCCTCCTGACCCCCAAAAAACCCACTTTTCCCCAATTTTCTCCGCTAAAGCCATCCGCAACGCACAAACAACCACGCAGAAAGATGGCACGGCTAACTCCGTGTATTTCCAGACCCTCAGATCCAGCAATACGGGGAAGTGAACCAGCTGGGAGGCGTATTTGTCAACGGCCGCCCCCTGCCCAATCACATACGCATGCGCATTATTGAACTGGCGGGGCTGGGCATACGCCCTTGTGACATCTCCCGTCAGCTGAGAGTCTCCCATGGATGTGTCTCCAAGATCCTAGCAAGGTGGGTCATAGCAAGGTGGGTCCTAGCATGGTGGGTACTAGCAAGGTGGGTCCCAGCAAGGTGGGTCCTAGCAAGGTGGGTCCTAGCATGGTGGGTACTAGCAAGGTGGGTCCCAGCAAGGTGGGTCCTAGCAAGGTGGGTCCTAGCAAGGTGGGTCCTAGCAAGGTAGGTCCTAGCAAGGTGGGTCCTAGCAAGGTGGGTCCTAGCAAGGTGGGTCCCATCAAAGTGGGTTCTAGCAAGGTGGGTCCTAGCATGATGGGTACTAACATGGTGGGTCCTAGCAAGGTGGGTCCTAGCAAGGCAGGTCCTAGCAAGGTGGGTCCTAGCATGGTGGGTACTAGCAAGGTGGGTCCTAGCAAGGTGGGTCCTAGCATGGTGGGTACTAGCAAGGTGGGTCCTAGCAAGGTGGGTCCTAGCAAGGTGGGTCCTAGCAAGGTGGGTCCTAGCAAGGTGGGTCCTAGCAAGGTGGGTCCCAGCAAGGTGGGTCCAGCAAGGTGGGTCCCAGCAAGGTGGGTCCTAGCAAGGTGGGTCCTAGTATGGTGGGTACTAGCATGGTGGGTCCTAGCAAGGTGGGTCCTAGCAAGGTGGGTACTAGCAAGGTGGGTACTAGCAAGGTAGGTCCTAGCAAGGTGGGTCCTAGCAAGGTGGGTCCTAGCAAGGTGGGTCCCATCAAAGTGGGTTCTAGCAAGGTGGGTCCTAGCAAGGTGGGTCCTAGCATGGTGGGTACTAGCATGGTGGGTCCTAGCAAGGTGGGTCCTAGCATGGTGGGTACTAGCATGGTGGGTCCTAGCAAGGTGGGTCCTAGTAAGGTGGGTCCTAGCAAGGTGGGTCCTAGCAAGGTGGGTCCTTGCATGGTGGGTACTAATATGGTGGGTCCTATCAAGGTGGGTCCTACCAAGGCAGGTCCTAGCAAGGTGGGTCCTAGCATAGTGGGTACTAGCATGGTGGGCCCTAGCAAGATGGGTCTTAGCAAGGTGGGTCCTAGCATGGTGGGTCCTAGCAAGGTGGGTCCTAACAAGGTGGGTCCTAGCAAGGTGGGGTCTTAGCATGGTGGGTACTAGCAAGGTGGGTCCTAACAAGGTGGGTCCTAGTAAGGTGGGTCCTAGCAAGGTGGGTCCCAGCATGGTGGGTCCTAGCAAGGTGGGTCCTAACAAGGTGGGTCCTAGCAAGGTGGGTACTAACAAGGTGGGTACTAACAAGGTGGGTACTAGCAAGGTGGGTACTAACAAGGTGGGTACTAGCAAGTTGGGCACTAGCAAGGTGTTTACTAACAAGGTGGGTACTAACAAGGTGGGTACTAGCATGGTGGGTACTAGCAAGGTGGGTACTAGCAAGGTGGGTACTAACAAGAAGGTTATTAGCAAGGTGGGTACTAGCAAGGTGGGTACTAACAAAGTGGGTCCTAGCATGGTGGGTCCTAGCATGGTGGGTACTAACAAGGTGGGTATTAACAAGGTGGGTACTAGCAAGGTGGGTACTAGCAAGGTGGGTACTAGCAAGGTGGGTACTAGCAAGGTGGGTACTAACAAGGTGAGTACTAACAAGGTGGGTACTAACAAGGTGGGTACTAACAAGGTGGGTACTAGCAAGGTGGGTACTAACAAGGTGGGTACTAACAAGATGGTTATTAGCAAGGTGGGTACTAGCAAGGTGGGTACTAACAAAGTGGGTCCTAGCATGGTGGGTCCTAGCATGGTGGGTACTAACAAGGTGGGTATTAACAAGGTGAGTACTAGCAAGGTGGGTAGTAGCAAGGTTGGTACTAGCAAGGTGGGTACTAGCAAGGTGGGTACTAACAAGGTGAGTACTAACAAGGTGGGTACTAACAAGGTGGGTACTAACAAGGTGGGTTCTAGCAAGGTGGGTACTAACAAGGTGGGTACTAACAAGATGGTTATTAGCAAGGTGGGTACTAGCAAGGTGGGTACTAACAAAGTGGGTCCTAGCATGGTGGGTCCTAGCATGGTGGGTACTAACAAGGTGGGTATTAACAAGGTGAGTACTAGCAAGGTGGGTACTAGCAAGGTGGGTACTAGCAAGGTGGGTACTAGCAAGGTGGGTACTAACAAGGTGAGTACTAACAAGGTGGGTACTAACAAGGTGGGTACTAACAAGGTGGGTACTAGCAAGGTGGGTACTAACAAGGTGGGTACTAACAATGTGGGTACTAGCAAGGTGGGTACTAACAAGGTGGGTACTAACAAGGTGGGTACTAACAAGGTGGGTACTAACAAGGTGGGTACTAACAAAGTGGGTACTAACAATGTGGGTACTAGCAATGTGGGTACTAGCAAGGTGGGTACTAGCAAGGTGGGTACTAGCAAGGTGGGTACTAGCAGTAGCAGCCTCTCAACAAAGCCACCAAGGCTGATCCGTGGGTTTCCTCACATACTGCCGGTAAGAGATGCCTTCTTGTTGCAGATTAATAACGATATGTCTAGTGAAGACAGCCTCTTAGCTGTCAGCATCACCTTGAAGATCAGCACTGGAGTCGGAGGCTGTCAGCTGAAAGCAAAGGGCTGGCCGGTCTCTCTCTCTCTCTCTCTCTCTCTCTCTCTCTCTCTCTCTCTCTCTCTCTCTCTCTCTCTCTCTCTCTCTCTCTCTCTCTCTTCTCTCTCTCTCTCTCTCTCTCTCTCTCTCTCTCTCCTCTCTCTCTCTCTCTCTCTCTCTCCTCTCTCTCCTCTCTCTCTCTCTCTCTCTCTCTCTCTCTCTCTCTCTCTCTCTCCTACATAGGCACGAGACTAGATCCACACCTCCAATAGGCTGTCGCAGGATCTAACCCTCTCTCTTTATCTCTGTATCTCCTCGTAGGTACAACGAGACGGGTTCGATCCTGCCAGGTGCTATAGGAGGGTCCAAACCCAGGGTGACAACGCCTAAGGTGGTCAGTTACATCAAGGATCTCAAGCAGAAGGATCCAGGGATCTTCGCTTGGGAGATCCGAGAACGACTGTTGAAGGACGGTGTATGCGACAAGTACAATGTACCCAGTGTGTCCTCTATATCCAGGTAAGTGGCAGGACATAGGGGGCAGTGCTTCACTCATGGCTGGGTAAAACTCTACACTGAGTGAGACGTAACTTAGATACCAATGCCAGTACATGGTATTGGAGGGTAAATTCTCTCCCAGTATATTTAATGTCCATAAAAACACCTTTAAAGTTCAATAAACAACTTTTAGATAGTTCCAGCACATGGTATTGGAGGGTAAGTTCTCTCCCAGTATATTTAATGTCCATAAAAACACCTTTAAAGTTCAATAAACAACTTTTAGATAGTTCCAGCACATGGTATTGGAGGGTAAATTCTCTCCCAGTATATTTAATGTCCATAAAAACACCTTTAAAGTTCAATAAACAACTTTTAGATAGTTCCAGCACATGGTATTGGAGGGTAAATTCTCTCCCTGTGTATTTAAGTATTATCTGACCTTCTGGGATTAATAATGTGTATATTGTAAGAGTGGTTAATGTGTATGGATGTTGATGTATGATTCTCTCTGCAGGATTCTGAGAAACAAGATCGGCAGCGTACACCATCTTGGCAGTCAGGCACACTATGAGGTGAAGCATGCGGCATCCTCCCTTTACAACACCCTGTACCCTGCAGCCGCTGCCTACACCGCCGCAGCTGCGGCCTACACCTCCATGGCGCCTCCCAGCATGCCGCAGGCGGCCACCATGGCGCCTCCAGCCACCGCCACATGCGGCAAGACCTCCACCACCCCCTCCCCGCCCGTCCCCAGTGCCGCCGCATGCGGCATGCGGCCGCACTGGCCCTCCCCCCACACGGTCTCGGACCTCCTGGGTCATGTCAACATGACTGGTCTCCCCAGGACCCCCTACATGCAAGACCACAATAACTACTACATGTATCTTCAGACCTGCGGGTCCCAGACCGCATCCCCCCTACCACATAACCCCCTCCCCTCCACCTTCCCCCATTCGCCTCTCCCAAACGGCATCCACAACGGGATAAACGGTCTCCAGAACGGTTTTGGTAACCCGTTGAGCATGATGGGCGGGTCCGGACTGCCACCCCAGACTGCTACCCTCTAACAGGTGCCCAAAATGAACTCGAAATACCTTCAAAGTGCCCAAAATGCCCTCATAAAGCCTTCAAAGTGCCCAAAATGCCGTCAGAAAGCCTTCAAAGTGCCCAGAATGCCCTCAGAAAGCCTTCAAAGTGCCCAAAATGCATTCAGAAAGCCTTCAAAGTGCCCAAAATTCCCTCAGAAACCCTTCAAAGTGCCCAAAATTCCCTCAGAAACCCTTCAAATTGCCCAAAATTCCCTCAGAAACCCTTCAAAGTTCCCAAAATGCCCTCAGAAAACCTTCAAAGTGCCCAAAATGCCCTCAGAATGCCTTCAAAGTGCCCAAAATGAACCCGAAAATACCTTCAAAGTGCCCAAAATGAACCCGAAAATACCTTCAAAGTGCCCAAAATGAACCCGAAAATACCTTCAAAGTGCCCAAAATGAACCCGAAAATACCTTCAAAGTGCCCAAAATGAACCCGAAAATACCTTCAAAGTGCCCAAAATGCCTTCAAAGTGCCCAAAATACACTTCAGAGTGCCCAAACAGGCTTCAACGTGCCAAAAATGCTTTCAAAGTTCCCGAAATGCACCCAGAAAGCTTATAAAGTGCCCAAAATGCCTTCAAGGTGCCCAAAATGCTCTTAAATAACCAGAAAGTTCTCAGAAGTACTCTCAGATAGAAGCAGCAGTACTTACCTACCTCTACTGTCTCATTCTCTTACAAGAACGTCAGTACAGTGAAGGTTCTTGCTATATTACGTCTTAAGAACGTCAGTACAGTGAAGGTTCTTGCTATATTACGTCTCAAGAACGTCAGTACAGTGAAGGTTCTTGCTATATTACGTCTTAAGAACGTCAGTACAGTGAAGGTTCTTGCTATATTACGTCTTAAGAACGTTAATACAGTGAAGGTTCTTGCTATATTACGTCTTAAGAACGTCAGTACAGTGAAGGTTCTTGCTATATTACGTCTCAAGTACGTCAATACAGTGAAGGTTCTTGCTATATTACGTCTTAAGAACGTCAGTACAGTGAAGGTTCTTGCTATATTACGTCTCAAGAACGTCAGTACAGTGAAGGTTCTTGCTATATTACGTCTTAAGAACGTCAGTACAGTGAAGGTTCTTGCTATATTACGTCTCAAGAACGTCAGTACAGTGAAGGTTCTTGCTATATTACGTCTCAAGAACGTCAGTACAGTGAAGGTTCTTGCTATATTACGTCTCAAGAACGTCAGTACAGTGAAGGTTCTTGCTATATTACGTCTCAAGTACGTCAGTACAGTGAAGGTTCTTGCTATATTACGTCTCAAGAACGTCAGTACAGTGAAGGTTCTTGCTATATTACGTCTCAAGAACGTCAGTAAAGTGACTGTGGTGCTATATAGTGAGCGTTTCTACCATATTATGTCCCAAGAACGTCAATAAAGTGATGTTTACACTAAGAACGTGGTGTTATGAACGTTTACTTAAGTTACTCTTCAAATCCTTCTCAATTTTCTACAGCAAATTTAACCCTGTCAAAGAACATCATTATTTATGTAATTATATTTATTAAGGATAATTATTGCAATAATTGACCCAATTATCTTAATCGCTATTAATTAAGCTTAATTATCGTAGGTGAATAAATTGAAAATAATTGAAACGTCGAGAGAAAAACGTTATTTTTGTGGAAATGTCTCTGATTTTAAGGGGTGGCTATGGTAATGTTTTTATACTATGTGGATCTGTAGAATCCTCTCGTCAAAGATGGTTACCTTTCATTCCTACCCCACAGGCAATGTATGGCCCTTACGGGTTTAGTGGTTGTCCATATGTGTGTGTGTGTGTGTGTGTGTACTCGACTATTCGTGGTTACAGGGGGTCGAGTCACAGCTCCTTGTATGTGTGTGTCTGTGTTTGTTTTTTTGTCTGTTTTAGTATACTACTGTTGATACTAGAGCAACAGCAGTAACAGCAGCAACAGTAATCCCCTCTTATTTTGTTTACTTACTGTTTAAACAGGATATAATATAATGTATATACATGACCGTGCCTTATACAGCGTATATACAGAATACGGAGTTCACTGTATACACACGCTGTATGCTGTATACTGTTATTTTTTATTATCTTCTATGTTAAGTCTGGTGATAAGTGTGGCCATGGGGTATATTATAGCAGGTGTGGGCCATATGTAGCTGATAACAGGTGTGGCCCATGGGAATATGATATCAGGTGTGGGCCATGTTGAGGTCCTCAATATTAGACCACTGATCAATGATAGCAGATGTGGGCCATGGGAATATGATATCAGGTGTGGGCCATGTTGAGGTTCTCTATATTAGACCACTGATCAATGATAGCAGATGTGGGCCATGTGTACACACACACACACACACACACACCTGTCCATATGCAACAAGCCTGTCAAAGAATCATAATTTGCAACATGACCTCTTGACATATACTGCATACGTGGCTATGTTGTGTTTCAAACATAGCCCACGATACGCCATGTTGCAAAGCACAGCTCTAATCATAAACATGTTGCTCTATTTCTAACAATATTTGGGCTCTTCTTTGATCAAAGTGTCTCTAAGAAGAGCTAGGAAAATCTATTCACTACAGCTGTGTCTATGTGTTAATAATACATAGTATACACGTGTATCATTGAGGATACATCCACTGATGTATCACGTAACACTGTAACGCTAGATGTAAACAAAAGTAACCCTGAGTACAATAAAAATCTTTGATACTATTGAGTACTTTCCTTTTGTCCTCGTTCTTGAAAAGGTCAGTTAGAACTTAGAGAAGGATCAGGCGCTTCCAGCGGGTCTGGAAGGTCCGTAAGTTCAAGAACTTGGAAGGTTCTGTACTTCTTTCAAGCCGACGAATGTGGAGTACTGAAGGACTCTAAGGACCTTAAGGTAGCTAGAGGTCCTGTACTTACTTCAAGGTCAACGAACGTGGAGTACTGAAGGACTCTAAGGACCTTAAGGTAGCTAGAGGTCCTGTACTTACTTCAAGGTCAACGAACGTGGAGTACTGAAGGACTCTAAGGACCTTAAGGTAGCCAGAGGTCCTGTACTTAATTCAGATCCACGAACGTGGAGTACTGAAGGACCTTAAGGTAGCTAGAGGTCCTGTACTTACTTCAAGGTCAACGAACGTGGAGTACTGAAGGACGTTAAGGTAACCAGAGGTCCTGTACTTAATTCAGATCCACGAACGTGGAGTACTGAAGGACCTTAAGGTAGCCAGAGGTCCTGTACTTACTTCAGGGTCAACGAACGTGGAGTACTGAAGGACGTTAAGGTAACCAGAGGTCCTGTTCTTACTTCAGGGTCGCCTTCAAGGGGTGGTGGTACCTTGATGCTGGTGAAGGGCTTTCGATCCAAGGAACTGGAGCTAATCTCCCTCTCCCTAGGACGTTCAAACCTGATGGCTTCCCAAGTCGCAGGCCCCAGGCAGACCCGTGCGGGTTTAGCGCTACAGGAAAAATATAACGATGGAAATTCAATTCTCATTCCAGTCTGTGATGTCAGTGACCAGTCTGTGATGTCAGAGTCCAGTCTGTGATGTCAGAGTCCAGTTTGTGAGGTCAGAGTCCAGTGTGTGATGTCAGAGTCCAGTTTGTGATGTCAGTGTCCAGTCTGTGAGGTCAGTGTCCAGTCTGTGATGTCAGAGTCCAGTTTGTGAGGTCAGAGTCCAGTCTGTAATGTCAGAGTCCAGTTTGGGATGTCAGTGTCCAGTCTGTGAGCCCAGTGTCCAGTCTGTCAGTGTTCAGTGTTCAGTCCGTGAGGTCAGAGTCCAATCTGTGATGTCAGTGTCCAGTCTGTGATGTCAGAGTCCAGTTTGTGAGGTCAGAGTCCAGTCTGTGAGGTCAGAGTCCAGTTTGTGATGTCAGTGTTCAGTCTGTGAGGTCAGTGTCCAGTCTGTGAAGTCAGTGTAAAGTCTGTGATGTCAGAGTCCAGTTTGTGAGATCAGAGTCCAGTCTGTAATGTCAGAGTCCAGTTTGTGATGTCAGTGTCCAGTCTGTGAGCTCAGTGTCCAGTCTGTGATGTCAGTGTTCAGTCTGTGAGGTCAGAGTCCAATCTGTGATGTCAGTGTCCAGTCTGTGATGTCAGAGTCCAAATTGTGAGGTCAGAGTCCAGTCTGTGAGGTCAGAGTCCAGTCTGTGAGCTCAGTGTCCAGTCTGTGAGCTCAGTGTCCAGTCTGTGATGTCAGTGTTCAGTCTGTAAGGTCAGTGTCCAGTCTGTGATGTCAGTGTCCAGTCTGTGATGTCAGTGTCCAGTCTGTGATGTCAGTGTCCAGTCTGTGATGTCAGTGTCCAGTCTGTGATGTCAGTGTCCAGTCTGTGATGTCAGTGTCCAGTTTGTGAAGTCAGTGTCCAGTCTGTGATGTCAGAGTCCAGTTTGTGAGGCCAGTGTCCAGTCTGTGATGTCAGTGTCCAGTCTGTGATGTCAGTGTCCAGTCTGTGATGTCAGTGTCCAGTATGTGATGTCAGAGTCCAGTCTGTGAGGTCAGTGTCCAGTCTGTGATGTCACTGTCCAGTCTGTGAGGTCACTGTCTAGTCCGTGATGTCACTGTCCAGTATGTGATGTCACTGTCCAGTCTGTGATGTCAGAGTCTAGTTTGTGATGTCAGAGTCCAGTCTGTGATGTCACTGTCCAGCCTGTGAGGTCAGAGTCCAGTCTGTGATGTCAGTGTCCAGTCTGTGAGGTCAGTGTCCAGTCTTTGAGGTCAGTGTCCAGTATGTGATGTCAGAGTCCAGTCTGCGAGGTCAGTGTCCAGCCTGTGATGTCACTGTCCAGTCTGTGAGACCAGAGTCCAGTTTGTGAGGTCAGAGTCCAGTCTGTGATGTCAGAGTCCAGTTTGTGATGTCAGTGTCCAGTCTGTGATGTCAGTGTCCAGTCTGTGAGGTCAGTGTCCAGTCTGTGAGGTCAGAGTCCAGTCTGTGATGTCAGTGTCCAGTCTGTGATGTCAGTGGTCCAGTCTGTGATGTCAGTGTCCAGTCTGTGATGTCAGTGTCCAGTCTGTGAGGTCAGTGTCCAGTCTGTGATGTCAGTGTCTAGTCTGTGATGTCAGTGTCCAGTATGTGATGTCAGAGTCCAGTCTGTGAGGTCAGTGTCCAGTCTGTGATGTCACTGTCCAGTCTGTGAGGTCAGTGTCCAGTCTGTGATGTCACTGTCCAGTCTGTGATGTCAGAATCTAGTTTGTGAAGTCAGTGTCCAGTCTGTGATGTCACTGTCCAGTCTGTGATGTCAGAGTCCAGTTTGTGAGATCAGTGTTCCAGTCTGTGAAGTCAGTGACCAGTCTGTGAGGTCAGTGTCCAGTCTGTGATGTCAGTGTCCAGTTTGTGAGGTCAGTGTCCAGTCTGTGATGTCAGTGTCCAGTCTGTGATGTCAGAGTCCAGTTTATGAGGTCAGTGTCCAGTCTGTGAGGTCAGTGACCAGTCTGTGATGTCAGTGTCCAGTATGTGATGTCACTGTCCAGTCTGTGATGTCATAGTCCAGCCTGTGATGTCACTGTCCAGTCTGTGATGTCACTGTCCAGTTTGTGATGCCAGGGTCCAGTTTGTGATGTCAGAGTTCAGTTTCTGATGTCAGTCTCCAGTCTGGGATGTCAGAGTCCAGTTTGTGATGTCAGTGTCCAGTCTGTGATGTCAGAGACTAGTCTGTGATGTCAGTGTCCAGTCTGTGATGTC